TAATAAAGAAACTGATGGGTTCATTAAACTGCTAGTCAAGATAAAGCAATACAAAAAATTAATTGCATGAAATTAATGGAGGTAATTAAAGACGTTTTTAAGACTTTTATTTAAAACACTGTTGGTTCTTTCTTAAATGTTTTGTTTTCCAGATTTAAGGAATTTTTCTCTCATAAGCTATCATTTGCAGCAATTTGGTAAAGCATACTTTCATGAAAAAAGGTGGAAGCATTTGCTTTTTCACCCTACTTGATTCCTCTCAAATTCAGAAACAATTCATGAGTATTCTTATGTACATAAGCTCAATAAAAATCTACTCTCTCTTTATAAACAGGATACAATTGTAAACATTGGTTATATTACCAAAGCTTTGACTGAAATATCATATTTAAGAATGTGTATAAAATACCTGGCTCCAAGAGTCTCAGCCCTTAGAGTGAGTAAAAACTGTCACTTCCTGGCAGGCACAAGGAACCTTAAGAGTGTAAATAAAATCTAAAGTCTGCCTTGGTTTGGCTTCCTAGCCTCAAGAGGTTTTTAAATCCGAGATTCCTATATAATCAACATGCAGAAAAAAAGTTGTATTTCTAAAGAAAAACTGTAATACACCTGTTATCAAACTGTAGTCTTGTGTATTAAGTTCTTGTTATCTACCTGAAGACTGGATTAAAGTTCCTTAATTTGCCTAATTTCCTCCAATATTTGGCTATACTCCAAATGAAAACAAAAGCTGCTCTGTTCCAAAAGCTCTACAAGCTGAAACTATTCAAATTTTAAGATATAAGCCTTATGCCTGACGTATGGGCCACACAAAAAGTTCATTAAACCGTCCAATGTAATGACTAGAGATATTAAAACAATGAGTAAGGAGGAGAAGTTAATGTTTTCACATTGTAGACAGCTTTTCCCAAGACGTAAGAAGACTTTTACCCCCTCTTAATGCTACCCTTTCCACTTGACAGGATAATGGTGTTAATTCTGCAGTACCCAACCGGTCTGTGGCCTGTTAGGAACCCGGCCACACAGCAGGAGGTGAGCAGCAGGCAAGCAAAGCTTCATCTGTATTTACAGCCGCTCCCCACTGCTTGCATTACTGCCGGAGTCTTGCCTCCCCTCATCCATGGAAAAATTGTCTTCCATGAAACCGGTCCCTGGTGCCAAAAAGGCTGGGGACCACTAGCATTGAAATTTCACAATCGATAGCTTCTGCTGGTAACTTAACAGAATCTAACCTAAGAAATCCTTTACTATCCACTGGTTAAATAAGAAAGTGTGCTATTGCTTTTACTACATGCTATACCTGCAAAAATTCCTCTGGGAAAGTTGAGACCCATATACATAAAATAAGAAAACAAGCCACGTGGTTACAACAGTCTCACCTAATTCCCCATAGTCATTTGATTTATTCAATCGGTTGTCTTTAAACATACGCACATGGTTCAAAACCATTATGCAAACCAGAATGTCACATTACTATTAATTTTACTCTGTATTTTCCCTTTTTAAACTTTGTATCTGTTACTTGCTAAATTTTGTGTTTAGAGGCACAACTCCTAATAAAATAATGCTGGCCTAGCACTTTGAGATGATAACAAAACACTATGAACAGACAAAACTGAACTTAATAATGGACTCCAGGTAGATTTAGCCTGGGAGCCACTTTCTTCAAACCTCCCTTGTTGCTCAAATGTGGTTAAAACGACTGTGACACTGACTCCTAGTTGCCAATCACTCCCCCCAAAGTGGGATGAGACCAGCAACCAAGACAGGTTCATCCTGGCACTGTGGGATGTCAAAACCTAACTAGAGGATAATTTATTAATGATGCTTTTCAAGAAAGATCTTGATCAAAAGGGCAAAATGTTAAAGTTGTTAAAATCAAAATGGAATTGCTAACGTTAAGAAAACCCTGACAAATAGAGCCAAGGAAGACCATGAAGAGAAGGTTCTCACTTCTCTTGTGTGCCTAATAACAAAGACTCTACAAAAAACATAACCTTGTACAAAAAATACTTCTTCAAGGATATCTGCCCAGCAATAGCCCATCCAACCTCAAACTGTTGTCACCCTTGTTATTGATCTTTGTAGCCAAGGGTAATTATTTCAAAACAATTATGTAATCCTCCTCATTTTTTTCTTTAAAAACCTTTGTCTTCCGTGAATATGTACATAGTATTCCCATTGGGCATATGTATTCACACTGCAATGCCCTATTCCCAAATAAATGTTTTCTTTAGAGAACCTCTCTGTTATTTAGGGTTAACATAACAATTCTAGAAATCCAAATTTCAAAAGGTTGGTGGCAATACACTACATGTTTAATAGGTACTTGTTTCAGTAATTTGAATATTTTATGCAAAATACAAGATTCCAAATGGAATTAAGTTATTTAAAAATAATGCATCTGAATTTTAAAAACTAAAGTTATAAAAAAATTCTAGATGCTAAGGACTAAGTATATATTTCTATATGACATATCCATTAAAGATCAGTCTCAAATGACTTTAGATTGAACTACGATTATTCTTCACATAGCAAGATTTAAAAAATATAGGATGACTTTTAATGGGCCAAAAGAAAATTCTAGTGCACTCTTAAGTTGAATCACTATCACTTAATGGGTTTAGAGTTACCGTAAAAATGACTTTAATACATTTTTCTAATATAATTGTTTCTCCAAATTAGCTAAGCTAGCCTGCAAACCCTATGGAAGTAATATGTGTGATACATCTGCTCTACATATTATTCTATACCCTGGAAGTGTAACACATTCTAGCCTAAGTTGTTTGAGAAAATCACATTAAGCACAGCTTAGCAAAACTTCTGTTTGTTCTAAGCTTTTACCCAGAACATCAATCAAGTTCTTTTATCAAAATCGGGAAAGGAATATAATCCTTTTCACCAATGCCTGAGTTGTTTAAGAAAAAAAAAGGATGTACCTGGCACAGATGTAGAATCCTCTGCACACCAGCGACAACTGCTCTAATGATCTGAGGTCCAAGTCACTAGACACCACCCATCGGAAGATGTACATCAGGACCTCCATTGGCAGCGCTGCAAAAGAAAATCACCCTTCACTGACTCTCCTATATGTCCTTCTATTGTCACACCCACATTCTCAGTGCATTAATGCATTCCTAGAAATTTATGAATCAAATGCTCAGTATTGCTCAGAGCTATGGCATGAATGTACTTAACTACCCAATAGTAATTAATGGTTCTTACTATCAAGACACAAATATCTTTATTTTTTCAGTAAAAAATAGATCTGAAGCTGTCTTTATAAAGCACCTTTTGCCCATGGAAGATTATTTTACTTCTGAGATATATTAACATAAATGTGTTAGAAAAATAGTCTACTATATGTGTGTGTGATCCAAATTGAATTTATTAACAATAAGTTATTTTCATCTCCTTGAAAATTTTCAATTGTCTTCTCTGAAAAATCCCGTAAGTAATTAAATAATATTTAACATAGGAAAAGAAAACACATTCATTTCTAAATATTCAGCCTTTCTCAGGACTATTGTCCAACTTGGCTGAAATGCTTCATGATGCCAGTGTTCCTCCAATTTTCTTAGGGCTACCTCAACTCAAGACTCACCCTCCTAGATCTTCACTGAAAAAATTATGGCATCCTTAAACAAGTGTAGTGTTGTACTACAAACACTGCTCTGGTTCAGATTTTGAAAAGCTTATTTGTAAATACAAACAGTAATTATAACTAGATCTCCCACCATATCCTGAACTAGGGCTGCAATTTTCTGGCAAATTATCTGACCTTCTAAGTTTGGAAATCTTTAATCTAAGGTTAAAGTATTTCTCATTGAGTAACAAAACCAAGAATTCACACCTGATATGTGAGTCTGACTGCTCTCAAGCTCAGGCTGACACAGTTTGAGCACAGACTCCTGAAATGTGAGTTGCTGCTGGAAGTAGGACAAGAGATCTGCCATTTTGCTATCATCATCATTATCTTCAATGCTGAAAAGAGAAGGAAGGTGCGGAATCTAAGTGCCTCGGTCTACAAACATATAGTTTAAAAACTGATTTTTCATAACACTTTGAAATTTGCTTTAGAAAAAGTCACCTAAAGGCTTATTCAAAATGTGATACTTTTTGAAATGTGATTAACAGTTTATCCCACCTTACAAAGGAGTACCATACTAAGTTCTTCCAGAGAAAAAAGCTTTGGTAATTACCACTTGGAACGAATTAGGATTTTCAGATACGGGTGTTGAGATTTAACTAATTAGTTTTATTGTAAAGTAGAGATTTCATGCGTTAGTAAAAAATTTCAAATGATTTGAAAGTAATCAAATATAAGTAAATTCCTTATGTAAGTTTTATGTAAGTAAATTTTATGTAAGTAAATTCTTTAAGTGATCTTAAT